TATCGTGACCAATTAATAAATAATTAAACAATTAGAAAATTGGAAAACCAATTGTTTTGTTTAATTAATTTATTTATGCTAATAAGTAAAATTATAAAACATCTAAACGTAACAATATAATGATTTTTCCAATTATGTGGTTTAATTAAAACTAATTAAACATAATTAGTAATTTTTCCAGTAAAAATTCAAAAAACTTGGTCAGAGTACCGAGTACCATTTGTGTAACTGTACCATGGGTTCCACAAAGCGTGTCCATCGCCTTGGGCCACCCATGGGCACTTGCAATAACCGTAATTAAGTTAATTAGTATCTACACAACCCGGATTTTTCCAGGTCCTCTGGCATTTGGACATTTTCCGGCGCAGTTTCCGGGACCTTTCCGGGCACGCTTGCATGGCCGACTCTTGCATCTTCTGCGCCTTAAAAGTAAGTACTTTCCCTCCATCATGGTTTTCAAAGCCGACTATGACCGGTTGACCTCCATCCTCATTGGTCGATTCCACGGCTTAAGGAGGAATACAAATCACCGGTGATACAGTCGCCCAAACCATTTTCACCCAACGATGGTACACAAATATGGGCAAGACCCATATGGGCGATTCATTTAAAGGTCCAGTGTGTGATTACATAAAAAATTCTGAGGTGTGACAGATAGCTGAATATGGAATTTATCACTGATGTAATAGTAATTAGGAAAATATTTTAACTATTTTCACGCACAAAAGTCGGAAAAACACTTTTCCACAACACAGCCGCCTTTGATCCAACTCTTCTTTGTCCAACAAGTAGGCCTTGGAATTGTTTAGCAACAAATATTTCTCTATTTGATTTTTCGATTTGGGCCATCTTGCGAAACTGTCACACTTTCGACAAAATGGCCGAAATCGGGCGTCGTATAGTAGAAAAATCAAGTTTGCCGCGTCTCAAGTTACATGATCAGCACTCTTGAATTTAATTGGTTATTCCATTTGCCACGTGACTCATTGACTAGTTTCTTATTGGTTACAATAGTCACGTGACTATTAATCAACAATCCGATTGGCTGTTATTTGTGACCCACCCACACACTATAAAAAGCCAAGCTAAGCTGATTTTTGATGTAATGAGAAATTGAATTTTTTTTCTAATTGCTCCACCCACAAACTAAAATTTGACCAATAGTGGCTAAAACAACAAACACGTGATGGTGATTCTGTATTTTATTGGTTGTAAAGTCACATGATTATCATTCTGTTATTTCATTGGTGTTTCAAACTTCACGTGATTACTGTCGTTTATTTGATTGGTTTTAAGCTTCAGAATTGCACCAATAATAATCAAGAGACTTGTCACGTGATTATCACCCAGCAAGCTGATTGGTTATCCCTTGCAAAATTGACAAATGTATATTTTTGAGTCAAGAATCATCAAGAAATGTGTCACGTGATTAAACTTTGATTGGTTATTGCGCTCGCTGCGCTTGTTCGCCGCCCGAAAAATGTGTTTCTGTGGAATTTTAAGTCAAATTTTGTATTTTATCGGTTGGTAAGTCACGTGATTAAAGTTCTGTTATTTCATTGGTGTTTCAAAGTTCACGTGATTGCTATCGTTTATTTGATTGGTTTTAAGCTTCAGAACTGCACCAGTAATAATCAAGAGACTTGTCACATGATTATCGCCCAGCAATCTAATTGGTTATCGCTCGAAAAATTGACAAATGTATATTTTTGAGTCAATAATTATCAAGAAATGTGTCACGTGATTATAATTTCATTGGTTATTGCGCTCGCTGCGCTCGTTCGCCACCCGAAACATCGCAAAATGTGTTTCAGTGGAATTTTAAGTAAAATTTTGTATTTTATTGGTTGTAAAGTCACGTGATTATCGTTCTGTTATTTCATTGGTGTTTCAAAGTTCACGTGATTGCTATCGTTTATTTGATTGGTTTTAAGCTTCAAGAGACTTGTCACGTGATTATCACCCAGCA